GGGGGGGGGGGCATTGACAGGCATTTTCAAGGCATTAAGGAGACATCAAAATGTTTGCAAAATGCCCTGCAAGTATGGGAGTGTTAAAGGGGAAGTGATGTAATACATGGAAGTGACCAGCTTGGGCAGACTTGGGTCATAAAATTCTGGGTGTTACTCAACTGCATGAATTAGCCGTGCAATATTTATTTCAGACATGACTGGTTCTGACTGGTACTTGCAATGTCTGGCAATGGTATGGCTGGCACTGCTTTGGATGACACAGATAACAGCTGGCCCTACAGGGTGGCTTAGGTCAGGCTGTCACAGGTTGCAAGTACCTGGCTAGAAAGCTGTCCTCTTGCTGGAAAAATGCTGGGCTGTGTGCAGACAGGAAGTGGAATCTGCACCTGCTCTCTCCACTCACTCTATGATTCCCCTGTGGTTTCTGGGATTGCAAAACCTCCTATGCCTCTCCTAAATTGCCTTTGCAATGCTTCATAAATGCCAGAAAAATGCTATAGGAGCAGTAACCGAGCGTTTAAGGGGCGTTTCAATATAATTCAATTGAGGCATATGTCCAGCGGCATTGCCTCCAGAAGGCGACATGCACTCTTTTTAACACACAGCAACACAACACACTACTAACGCCCATGTGTGAACTGCACTGCACTGCAATATCCCACATGAGCGTTAATAGGCGGGGGAGGCTTTAAAAATGCTTCTCTAATGCGTGATTTTAACACACATGTGGAAGAGGCCTAAGTGGACCTTGAAAAAACATTTTAATTAAGCAAAATGATCCTAACACACTTTTTCTCAAGGTTATACATAGATAAAATAAGACTAAACAATTTACCACAATGTTTACAATTTCAACACTGTACATACCTATAGTGAAAATGTTAGTTGTTGAAATGCCAAAATCCAGGTATGATCAATTCTTTTGGTTGAGAAATTTAGTAGGCTGGTATCAGACGAGAAGCATATTTTCTTTTAAATTAAAATGTTCTTTCTTGATAAATATGTATATATATGTATTTATAATTTTAAAGTCATAATCTGTCTATTTTTAATATGTAAATTAGACATACTGCTTCTTTGACATAGAACTGCCAGAGCGGTTAGAAACTTGGTTAGTGTCACGGCTGTAAACATTACTGTCCAGATTTGAGTGAACTACACCATTCAGGGCCATCTCCTTCTCTGTATTGAAGTTGACCCAATTTTCCTCATCAGAAATTTTATAGGGAGGGCATTTATCCCCGATTGTGGGAAAATACAGACACGATTTGTCAGACTCTGGTGCACTAGGTAAGTTGTAAGTCTTGTCTTGGAATATTCCTGCATCACTTTTATATGCGACTCTTGCATACTTTTTTACTTTTCGACATATACTGTGAGAAATCAAAACAACGAATTCTACTATGTTGAGAAACAAAGAGATGAGGGAGACGGCAAGCATGAAAAGGATGAATATAGTTTTTTCCATGGGTCTTGACACAAAGCAGTCCACCTTATGAGGGCACGGCGGTCTTTCACACTCATATTTTGCCTGCATCACAAAACCATAGAGATACCATTGGCCAATTATGAATCCAGCCTCAAATAGACTCTTAAAGATAATGCTTGCTATGTATGTGCACAACAGTGCTCCTCTGATCTTGACTCTTCCATCCTCTTGAAATAATAATTTCCTGTGTTTCTTTTCATCAAGCGACAAGCCGGTATCCTCTTGTTGAATTTTGTCTTCTACAATCATGTATTGGCTTTCTTTCTGCCTTAGCTTTTCCTGTTTCCTAGACAGGTAGGCAACATGAGCCAAGTAGAACAGAGTAGGTGTACTCACGAAAAGAAACTGTAGCACCCAATACCGGATATGAGAAATAGGAAAAGCTTTATCATAGCAAACATTTGGACAACCAGGTTGTTTAGTGTTGCAAATGAAGTCTGATTGCTCATCTCCCCAAACTGATTCCCCGGCAAGGCTTAAAATCAGAAGACGGAATATAAACAGCACCACAAGCCAGATTTTTCCAACTGTTGTAGAATGCTCCTGTACTTGGTCTAGTAACTTTTCAAGAAAGCTCCAGTCCCCCATGTTAGTTATAGTGTCTGCAAACAGAAAATAAAATGTTATCATTATCCTCATATGTGTATTTACAAATGCAGTTTATATTGTCATCAGTTGTATTTGCATATCATTGGCAAAATTCTGTATCTGAGCTTGTAAATGTTTCTAAGGATGGTAGACTTTATTTGTTCGTTTGCTAAAAATGTGAGATTGGGGGTCCATGTATATACCCCTGTCTCATTAGCTTTAAACCTGTTTTTTTCTGCAGTTATTGGGGATTCTCCCAATTTCTATCTCTTTACTAAAGAAGATAGCAGAAGAAGCATTATTAGAACAGTTTGTTCTATCAGGGCCGGTGCACACCATAAACAGTGCGTTCTGGAACAGTAAGCCTCTGGAACGCACTGTATCGCATTGCCGCTAGCATCCTGCGTTCAGGGGCAGGAGGGGGCCTGATTGTGCATTGAAGTCAATGGCACCGCAGCCACGCCCCCCACCCACAGTGTGATCGCCGGCACCAGAATGCGTGGCACATCAGTGCCTGCGTTCTGGTCCAGTGTGATCTGCAAAAATGCTACAAGCACTATTTTGGCAGATCGCACTGGACCGGAATGCAGGCACTGATGTTCCACGTGTTCTGGTGTGGGCAACTGCGCTGTGCGCTTGGGGCATGTCTGGGTGCGATTGACTTCAATGCCCCGCCACACCCTCTCCCGCCCCTGAACGCAGGAAGCTGGCCAGAATGCGATATACTGCTAACCGCTGACCGCTCTGGAGCGCACTGTTTATGGTATGAACCAGCCCTTAATGTAGAGATTAAGGGACGTTGTAGCATATCTAAGCCCAAAATTTTTAATTTTATATATTGCAGCTTAGTCCTTAGATGTGGTGGTTGTACTAAACCCCTTTTAAACTGTCCGATCAGGAGGGGATCCGTGCATGCATCCCCTCCTGATTGGACAGTACGGATCGGATGTCACCACTGTGACATCTGTGTCTGTCCAATTGTTTTCTTCATTTTGCGATGGAGGAAAAAAATGAACTAACTGGACCCCATGTCGGTCTATGGGGAATCGGATGTAAATGTGTCCGTTTACAACAGATTACTTCTGATCCTGCACTGAACTCTGTCTTGGATATGCGGTTAAATAAATGTCACCCTCTACTTACTGGATAATTACTTTAAACTGGTTATATGTACTGTCTGGGGTTATAAGCGATCTTTCTATGCCTATTCTATTGGTTTTAGTTTTGTTTGTATTTCAGATGTACTGTACTGGAGTACATCATTTTGTACTACCCTCTGGACATGCTGTTGACTTTATAGGGATGATTTGCTAAAGGTAGATTAGGTAGATAGGCTTTCCTAAAAGCAAATTCACCTTGCAAGGCAAGCAACCCAATCACATGCAAGGAAAATAATTTTTACCAAAACCATGTTAGCTTGTATGTGATTGGATGATGGAAGTCAGCAGAGCTTCACCTCATTCAGTAAGCTAAAGGGAAATTCCTTTCTCAAGAAAATGAGGATCTGGATTGTTACTCTGGAAATGTAATTATATTTACTTTGCTTTTTTTTGTAAGCTGAATATGTTCCAGGGATTCTGATGGTCCATGTGTAAAATATTCTCACTCTCAACAGGGGGCACATTGCTCATAATCAGAATTTCTATGGAATATTGCTATCTATATTGAATATTGACATCTATGGTTTTCAGTAGTAGAAGAATATGTGAATAGATTATAATAACATGCGGTGAGCCTTCACTCACCTCCTGATTTAGCAATGCAAATTAGATATAATTTTGTGAAATAATCTTTGGTGCACTGATCTTTTAGGATTACTTTGCATAGGAGTCTGCTTCAAAATTTATCTCGAGTCTTACATTTTGCAAGCACATCACTTCAAGGTTCCATGATGAAGTCAAAATATTTTCCTGCTCTTGACAGATAGCATTCTCTTTCAGCATTAAACATAACAACTGTTTTGTCCAGCACACTCTATAGCCATTGCAATGCCTAAAACTGCTATGAGGCTAGTGGTGGACAAATTAGTTGTGCAGCCTGTGCAGGTACACAGGGGTCCTCGAGGTCCTGAGGCCCATTACATTTAGGGGGTGCCCCTGCCTGTAATAGGCCTTAAAATCTCAGTGGCCAGATTATAGCCAGGGTACTTTCAGTGAATGAAAGTATCCTGGCCGGATTCCAGGTCTTTGGGTGGTATTTGAACTTATCTCATATTCGCAGTGCAGATGGTGCAGGAAGCCACATGTCCAGAGGAGCACCTCTTTTAGAAAAGGAACCACTGTCCATCAATGAACATATCTCTGCTACGCCTCCAGTTATGCAGACTATTAAGAATTTATTTGCCAAAAAGGAATGGTTAAATGCAAGATTGTTTTTTCCACCATTCATTCTGGGTTTTCAAATTAGTAAGCAAGATAATTAAGAAATAAGATAAAAGGTAAAAGTGCAGAATAACACTGCTGGTAATTAAATAGTACCATTTAAGATCAGCGCACCACTGCAGGAAGAAGAGAAAGAAGAGAAAGAAAAGGGTGAAGAGAACCTGAGATGTCACTGGGCTGTAGACACCTTGAAAAAAAGGTAAGTCTAGAGATATTTTTATTTTAATATTGTGGGGGTTATTCAATGAGGGAAGGGGCTGGAGAGCCTTAAGCTGGGTTCTAACTGTACGAAAAAAAATATTGTGGCTGTCACATAAATCACACAACCCATAAGGGAGTCTGCAAGTATCTGGATTGTGTGGGACTCCAGTCAGTCTGCAAGAACACTTTTTAGGAATGTGTATATTGTCAGAACCAATTCAGGGGAATTTACAATGGGCCAGGAAATCTCATCTGGGACAACCAACCTCTTCCCCAGAGAGGGCCCTACAAGGAAACATTGTGGAGGGTCCTCATTCACATCCTCTTTCAACTGTTAAAGATTAGATTGGAGGAATGTTCTCCTGCAGGTATCTTATGTTGTTACACATATTGACCTCAGATATGCCCTATGATATCAGAGACTAGCAGGCAGCACTTATGACCAGCCAGAGTTCACATACTGTATCAGCACTGTGATCACTAGGCAGAGCACCTTCTGCACTAAGGCAAGGAGTGCTCTGTTGGGTAGAAGTCTAAAGTTCATGTATAAACTTTTCTACAATTAAACTGAAGAACTAACTCAATTTTATTGTATTCACTCTACTATCATATAATATTAAAGTATTTGTGAGCACATTAGTTTCGAAGTCAGTAGTAAGACAGCAAACTCACATCGCTAATTCAAATCACTTTTACCCATAATAATGATTATGTACCTCTTTTTTAACTTTTATGCAGGTCAGGTGACTGCACAACCTCTAGCGTTGGGTGTGAGGGTCGTGTCCACAAAACTCCCTATGATGGATATCAACACACCATGCATCAGCAAAGCGTCATGTATCTCCCAGCAGTGGTTCCATGGATGCAAACTAATCATTCCAGCACAGATCTCCTACCGTGCTTGGCGTGGTCAGTTTAAAAAGTAATCAAGGGAAAATGGCAGGATCACCAGGTTTTTAGCAATAACAAATAAAATAAAAACTTTGCGTGCTACATTTGTTAAGAACTATAAAAATAAGGCAACAAACAAGTAATCTTTGCGTTTGGGGTAATATTTACTTTTTTTGGGGGGTAACATAAATTGTGTCTTGCCGATAATGTTGTTTCCTTTAAAAAGCCATGGGGACATTGTTTTGGGAAAAGCAAAGAACAAGCACCTTTGTGGTATTGCTAAGTGTTAGTTCCTCTTTATTATTTATGGAGCTTTTGTTTTGAACGAGTCAGCTCTAAAACCTGTATAAATACATCATATCCTTCCTGCACGAAAACTTTGTGAGCATGGAAAGGAAAGACATATCTCAGTTCTTATCATGTTCTGTTCAGCAACAAGGTTTGTTACATGCTTTCAGGATAGGCTTTCTTTTTCACTGGACTAGATCAAACACAGCCCAAAGATATTCCATATAGAATTTTATTTGGCTATACAGTAATTTCTTTCCAAATTATGGTCTGTGCCTGTGCAGAAGCTTTAATAGGAAACCTGCCATGATAGAAATATGGAGGATGCTATTTCTGACCTCCTGGAAATGCTAGCTGACTGGTTGTTATGTTGACTCAATAGTTTATACTCTGACCTGAAACATAAATGCCTGTATATTTGTTTTAGGTCAGGGATTAAATTGTATTGGAGACAGACAGACACCTTAGGCCCCATTCACACTGAGCGATTTATCGAGCGATTTTTGCAGCGATATCGCTCATATTTCCACACGATATCGCTCTATGTAGCTTCTCCAATCCATTTCAATGGAGCTGTTCACATCTCGTCGCTCAATATCGCTCAATATCGCTAGTAGCTCGTCGCTGGTAGCTTGTCGCTCCTACATGGCCCTTGTTTCAAGTGATTTCGAGTGATTTTGCTCCTGATTGCATACAGCCCAATAGGAAAAAGTCGCTCAATATCGCTCGTCGCTCAATATCGCTCAAAATCGCGCGATTTTCATGACGCTCAGTGTGAATGGGGCCTTATTAAAGTGGATTCTGTCTAGCAATAAATTTGCAATGTGCAACTTATGCTATGCCATTTAGGAAAGCTTTGGACAAAAAGTAAACCATCAACTGAATTGGCTGTTCTTTCTTTTTTTTTAACTATTTTGAGCCAACTCTGTCAGTGCTAAATTGATGTCAATTTATCCTCTGGATTATATCTCTCAAGCTACTATACTTTGTCATCATTCTTTATACTCATACCTTGTCACTTCTGCTTTTGATATAGTTTGTGCAGGGCTTGAGATGTCTCCATTTGAATCTCCTCAAATCAAGCCAGTCACAGCATACCCCCCAACTTTGTTAGATGGGAAAGAGGGACACAATATAGAGCAAATTACATGCCCTTTCCATACCTAAAGTAATGCGGATTATGAGAATTAATGCACAAACAATAATTGGTTTAACTCAAAATTCTATTTTTCATCACTACTTTTCATTTGCTTTAGCTTTTTCAAATAAGAAACTGCATAATTAAAAAGGCTAGATAAAAGGTTTAGTGCAGTAAAACACTTTTGAAACTTAAAAGAGAACTAAGGGGTAAGTGTTTTCACCCATAGTTCTCTTTAGGGTCACGGGAGGACATATGCTAACCTCCTCCTGTGACCCAAAGCTCAGTATATAGCTGGCTATTGCCTGCGATATACTGAGAGCACCGCAGTTGGGATGCACCCCGACAATACTGTCGAGATCCACTCAGCTGCGTGAGTGACAGCTGGCTCTAGAGGCAGAGCCAGCTATGCCCGCCCCCCCCCCCATTCGTTCCTCTACTCAGCGCTGCAGGATCGGAGAGGGGAGGGAGGGAATCCCTGCGGGGAGCGGTAACTGACAGTCACTGCTCTCTGCAGCGAGATGATCGGAAAGTGAGCGAGCGACGGTATGTGTTCACTCACTTTCCGATCAATAGAGCTGACCTGTGACAGAAATCTATACATCAGGCCAATACGAGGGACAATGAAGGAAAAAAAGAAGGATTTGGTTTCAAATGAAGGACAGCCCCTCTAAACGAGAGACTCCTCATTTCCCATTGCTTCTGTTGAGATTTTTCTCCTGCTATAATTTCTCAGCAACATAGAGAGAATCCAGCTGACAAGGATGCTTGGCACAATGGAGGATGGCGTCAGTGATAATTCACCACTGGTGTCTGGAAAACCTTTCATAAATCTTTCAGGATCTAAATTTGCTGTGGCACACACAAATATTTGCATTTATTTGTCCTTTAAATCCCAGTTTGTTTTATCTTCTCTGCATATATTTTCTGGTTTTGCAATGAATACTATGTTTTAAGTCTTAGCGTCTCCTTTGGTGAACAAACAGAAAGTGGGGGACTTGGGACCCTATATGTCTATTTCAGGCGTTGTGCTTGGCAGCAGTTTCCTTGCTTCTGTAGAGGAGACATTATCCAGAGATGTCCTGGAACAATGCAACAAGGCAGCCAAGCCTTAAGAGTCTTAACCTTAAGCTTACCGGGTAAATCATGCCACAAGGAATACTGTGAGCGTTAGAGCATGCTGAAGGCTTTTTAATGCTTACTGATGAGGCTGATAAGGGAGCTTAATAAATTAGCAGCTTTTACCTTGTTATCTTGACACTACTGTAAGTACCATATCATAAGACTTGCTAAACTAAATTAAGCGTGACATGCCCCATGTGGTCTATAGTAGTTTTGTATTTCAGGCATGAACTATAGATATAAATACTAGGATTATGACTGCTGTTTTAAATTAGGCTCAATGAATTAAAGTGGCATCTGCCACTTTTGTACAGTAGTTGATAGTTAAAGTATATCTAAACCAACAAGAACAATATCTACACCACCAAGAACAAACATTTAATATATTGCAGTTTACCAGTCCTTAGATGTAGTGGATGCATTTGTTTTCTTTTTATAAGGCTAAGCACATTTTTTTTTAAAGTACAGAAAAATACCTGACAAAAATCTTGTGTCCTTGTATCTTCCTGTGTTCTCAACTGAAATCTCAAAACAGTTGTCAGCTTCACAGCTATCTTCTGTGAACTATAGAGCACCACCCCTCTATGTAGAGGAGATAATGAGGAAGTGTTCAAACAAGCAACCTAGGATGGCAACGTGGCTCCTCCCTAGATAAAGTAGAGTGAGTGAGCATTGTTACCTTAAGACCGGAAGTTTATTGGTGGAATCACCAGGTAAGAATAAAGGAAAAAAAGTCTAGCCACCACAACCAAGGACAGGTAAGCTTTTTTTTGGTTTAGATAGGCTTTAAAGTATTTCAAAAGAAGACTGTCATTGGGTTCCTTCTTTGGGTATTAGCCAGCCATTGTATAGATAAGGAACAACCACAACATATCATCTCTTAGCACCATTATAGGTATGTGATGAGTTAGAAATGTAAGTCTGATTCACCACTGTTTTCCATATCACAAAGATATTGAATGTATAATGTCCGAAGTCCATGACCACCTGTAGGACAAGTCCCCTTAAAAACTCTGATCATTGTCAAGCCACCATTTAGCATTGATCAACAGCTTCTTTTATCACATTAACTGCATTTATATATAACTGAAACACATCAAACATTGCAATCAGCATATTAAAAAATATATAATCTATATGATATAATCTATATTATATAGACTTTCATTGGATTATAGGTCCAATAGTTTTCTATAGGTTGAACTTGATGGATTTGTGTCTTTTGTCAAGCTGACTAAGTATGTAACTATGGATTCATGTTTATGAGAAGTGTATTATGCGACAAGTGTTTGGACAACACAGGTATTTCTAACCCAATAGTGTTTTATGCACACCTATACGGTAAAGCCTTGTCTTGTTTTCTTTTAACATACATTTAATTAGTTTGCCAGAAAGCTACAGTAAAAAAAATAAA